TGACGTTTCATATCGGGCCATACATAACGAGAACAAATAAGCTTCGTAGTAGTAGCTGCAATTCCTGGATGTGACAGATTATGCAGATGATTAAAGATGAGTCTGCGAAAGGAATTCGGAACAAATGGACGAGGAATGTCTGTTGATATGTCACAAAGAATATTACCATCAGAATATTGGCACGGTTTAAATTCCAGTTTCAAAGATGATGTGTTGTTTTTGAGAAGGTCTTGTACCTCCGGATCATGCCGTTGAGCTTCCGAAAATTTTTTAAAATCCAAAAATGGAGATTTTGTTATGGAATCAATTTCGATTCTTGAAAGAGCGTCAGCAACGACGTTTTTTGAACCTTGCACATGCCTAATATCAGTAGAGTACTGAGAAATAAAATCTAAATGGCGCAATTGTCGAGGTGAACATTTATGAGGGTTCTGTTTAAAAGCGTATATTTAACGGTTTTTTGATCCGTATAAATTATAAAATTTCTGCCCTCTAACATATGTCGGAATTTCTTAATTGCAGAATAAATAGAAAATAATTCCCTATCGTACGCGGACCATTTCTGTTGACTTTTACTGAGTTTCATAGAGAAAAATGCTATAGGTTCCCATGTTTTGTTGAGACAACTGCATAAGTGTGCCGCCGATTGCGACGTCTGAGGCATCTACCCAGATGCTTAGCTGGGCTCCGGGAATAGGGTGTCTCAAAAGGGTAGCCTGAGCAATGGCATTTTTGGCAGCAATAAAGGCTTGTTCAGCATTCTCGTTCCAATTTAATTGTGGGGATGAATCCTGAACACGAGAACGAGATTTCTTTTTATTAATATAGCCTTCTAACAATTTTATTAAAGGAGAAAGAATATGTGCTGCTTTAGGTATGAAACATCTATAAAAGTTAAACATGCCTAAAAATCGGCGAAGCTGAGTGAGAGTGGTAGGTTGAGGAAAATCTAAAAATACATTTGACTTTGTCAGGAAGAGGTTCAATTCCGTTTTCACTAAGGTGAAAACCTAAGAAATCAATAGATGTTTGACCAAAGGTGCATTTTGAAACATTTATGCAAAGTCCATATTCCTGAAGTTTGGAAAATAAAGCTTTCAAATGCCTGCAATGTTTCCTCAGAATCTTTAGAGGCTATGAGCAAGTCATCGACAAAAGCGTAAACACCTTCTAAATCCCGCGTGACTTCATCTATAAAACGTTGAAAAGTCGCGGATGCATTGCATAAGCCGAATTGCATACGGGTACTTTCGAATAAACCGAATGGTGTGCATATGGCGGTTTTGTGGATGTCGGCTGGGTTAATTGGTATTTGATGGTATGCCTTAATCAGGTCGACATGACTAAAAATTTTAGTACCGTGCAATGCAGCAGTAAAATCGGCTAAACATGGAATAGGGTATTTGTCTTTTATTGTTTGAGCGTTCAATGCTCGATAATCTCCTACAGGTCTCCATTCCAGACTTCCCTTTTTTGGAACCATGTGAAGTGGGGATGCATAATTGCTGCTCGAAGGTCTCAAATGCCCCAATTGCATCATAGTTTGAAATTCTTGTTTGCGATTCTTGTTAAGCGATCTGGAGCTAACCGACGAGGTTTTGCAACCACAGGTGGACCTTTAGTTATGATATAATGAACGGTGTTATGTTTAACAGGTTGGTTAGGATCTGGTAATCTAGTAACTGAAGGAAATTCTTTTAAAATTTTGTGATATGGTGTATCACTAAATACAGTTTTTACTGAATAAATGCTTGCATTTTTCACGCAACCGACGGTTTTAAAATGCGTTTTTAAATCTTTGAGACATTTGTTTCTGAGATCAGGCACCAATTCAAAGGAATGGAGAAAATCTGCTCCAAGAATGGGTGTACTAACATTTGCTATAAGAAAAGACCATGTAAACTGTCGTCTTAATTTGAAATCCAAAGAAAGTGTTTTTTGACCATAAACATGAATAATAGAAGAATTAGCAGCGAAAAGTGTTTGTTGGGACGAATTCCGTTTTTGAGAATTATTTGCTGGAAGTAAGGACACGTCAGAGCCGGTATCGACCAAGAATGAAAGGTTTGTTCTACGGTCACGAACGAACAGGCGACGTGAAACTTGAGGCAAAGAATAAGTCGCCTCTATTCTTTGCTGGTTTCGTTTCCCTGCCATGAACAAGGTTTTGTACATTTGTCATCTCTACACTTTTTCCCAAAACGTCTATGATACCAGCAAACAGAATAATCTCTCCTTTTGGAATTGCTTCTTTCCTTATTGCGATCTCCGCGATTTGGCGAGCGACCACGAGAAAGAGAAATGCGATCAATACGTTTGTTTAATTTTTCTATTTGTTTAAATAATTTATCCTCAAGAGACTGATCGACTGTGCGAGAAACGGCACAAGTCCCTGGGGTAGGATTTACTTCTAAAATTCTGTCGGCAATTTCTGCAGCTTTATCTACAGTTAAATTGGAAACCGCTGCCAAAATAGACTGAACAGTCGAAGGCAAACGTTGAAGGAATAATTCTAACATTAAGTTATCAGGAACATTTAAAGATTCTGCTCGACGTTTCATATTTCTAAGCAAATCGGAAGGTTTTCGAGAACCTAATTCTTCTCCAGATAATAATTGGCGAATTTCTTGCTGAGAAGATTCTCCTGAACGATTTATTAACTCAGTTTTAAGCTTTGCATATGGATCAATAGGGTCTGGTTTCATAAGTAAATCCCGTACTATTGACGCAATATCTGGAGGAAGATGAGCAACTACATAATTATATTTAGTAATGGATTCTGTGATAGGTTTGGGGGTGGCAAGAGCAAAGGTACTTTCACACATAATAAACCATAAAGATGGGTCTGATCGGTTATAAACCGGAATTTGGACGGCATAAACATCAGACATTGTGCAAGGTTTTTAAGCCAAAATAAAAGGAAAAATTTAACTAAAGAAAATGAAATTAAATGATAAGTAGAAAACAGAATTATAAAATGATCTATAATTACTACTCATCTGTGATCCGGAGGACGAAAACCGATGTAATCCATTACTTCTGGTTTGGAGATCTTGAGTGATGGCTTGTAGTCAAAACCGAAAGTGCTTGAGAACTAACTGTTCATACGATTTAACACAGTCCGGGTTACCATTATGGAAATTTCCGGTTATGTTTTTACCACCAATCCTCGAATTCCATATCACAGATTATGTTCTTACTGCATTAATATAAATATTAACAAGACATAGTGCACAATAAAAATTAAACTTTATTTAGGAACATCGCGCATACTCCCCGACAGCCTGCCTGTTTCGCTCTGCTCGCTACTCGTAAGAAACTTCTCCTCTAGGGTTGCCACACTTATCGGAGGGCGCAAGGCGCGCTCCTTATCGCCATCACCACAATATTCAATAATTGAACAAGTATCAGTAATTCACTAATTATTTATGCTTATGTATTATCTATATCACTGATATCAATTTAGACACTTTCAATAGTTAGGAAAAAAGCAGTTATCAGCAGTCCCTGTTCGGGCGGCATGTTAAAAATTTTATCAACTTTATACTCTTAAAACTTTTAGATCATTAAATAGATAAATGAAAATTCACTTACCTTCTAAAGGGCTTCCCTGAACTGCCTTGCTTTCCTTTCGATATCCGTGTCTATTCTGAAATTCGATTCACAACTGAACACTACTATAAACTTTTTTTAAGAAGTTTTAATTAACATGTAAAAGGTATTTAGATAATATTTACAAGTTACAATCAATACAAACATTATGTTTCTAATATGTAAGGAGACGGTCTATCGTTTCGACTTATGTTACAAGCGTCAACCATTCAACTAAATCATTTTTGTCTCTTCCGCAGAGGGCGTTCGTGAAAGCTGAGTTTTAGTACACAAACGCGACAATTATGCATTAGTTCAAATATTCATAAACTCGAAAAATAGTTAATGAGAATTAAATGTATTTATTTTTGCTGTGTTTTGTAAGAAAGTAAGTGATTATTGTACACAAATGCAGACAGTGTTAACCTTCGGAATGTGATAACAATAAAATAGACAACTTAGCCTTCTAACCATAGCTTAAAAATTTTATTTTTCTCTTAAAATCACAGGAAAAGATAAATATTATACAAGAGAGAAAAAACTCAAAGATAAGAAATGTAAATCTTTAATGTGAAGAATAATATAGTTCAAGTAAAGTCTGTTAGCTACAGCAACAGAGAATGTGGAGAGTAAACTGAAAGAAATGTAACAGTCAAAATGACTAAAAGTTCAGTAAAAATGCACAGACGACTAATATTTAAGCAACCATTTAATATGATTAATATGCAGTAAATAGAATCGAAGCTTTTAGTAGGTGCTAGAATGAAATTCTATAGAATAAAATTAAGCAGCATGAATCAGTATACTAAACATGAATCAGAAGAATCAAGCTGCTGTTTTTTCTAATTATTGTGACCTTTAATATTAATCGATAAAATTTACGAATTAAACGTACCTTTTGTAATGAGAACATTTTAAATTATTTAATGGAAATAATTTTTTTAAATGCAAAATTTCAACCAAGGTTTTTTCCTCGATCCTCTTAAAAATGCATACACGATTATTCAATGTTTTCTGAACTGAAAATTATTTTAAAACTGAATAAATTAATTTCATAATGCTATTTTGAAAACGTAAAGATTGAAATCTGTTTCATGCCTAATGACAATTAAAACGCTTTTTAAACAAAAAAAAAAAATATTAAAAAGATTTACTTTTAATAAACGTTATATATTCATATTTATATTATTAATGTAAAACGAAAATCAAATACACTGTGAATTCATACGTTTCTAATTTTCATAAATATGCAACGAATCGGACTGCGAATTTCATTCATGACTCATTTTTGTCTAATGGTGCTGGCACCTAGTGTGCAATATATAAACTAAGTTGTCTTTTTCTCGTCATTGTTAGAGTACTGTTATGATCCGTCAATTGTTTGAATGAACTACTGAAGAGTTTCTGAATGCACTGTGTGCAGCATGTGCGGTTTTTGAGTGATGTTTGAATATTTACGTTTCAGCAGCTGGCGAAACACGTGAGCATATCCGCATATAGGTTGTCTGATATTGTATTAATTCTTGATTTGCACACTTAAAAATTTCGTATTATATGTATGAAATGCTATAAACAAAAAATAGGAGTTTTGGTGTGTTGAAAATCCCCGATGACTCATCAGTCAGCATTTAACTTGCGTTGACAGGTGTATCTGTTTTGAAAGAAACATTTTCGTTGCAATGGCTAAAATATTAAAGCAATTAGTTTTTGGTCAAAAGAAAAATCCTCCTGCCCCACCGCAACCGGATTATGCTGGAGAAGGTAAATTTTATTAATTTCATCAGTACCTTATATCATATTAGGATATTTGGCAGTTCTGTGTAAACCTTTTTTTTTTAAGAGAAACTTTTCACCCAGCCTGTTGAGCTTTACTCGCTGTAAAAAATAACAGGCTTCACTTTAATTTATAATCATTTATATACCTGTATAAAGCGAAATAGCTTTATTATATCCTAACATCGAAGGCGTTCAAAATATTTATAGTACTTGCTAATTTTCCTATTTGTACTAGTTTTCAAACGAATAATTTCACGCTTTGCAATTTGTTTGAAATGCAGTTTCGAATATTTATGCATGTTTTAAAATTTCATCCTTATATAAATTTGCAGAATTTTTTCCTCGTGTTCTTCTAAGCACGAAATTTTTAATTTCTTTTACTACAGGTTTCGTTTTGCAGTATGTATGTGTAATTTATAACGTAATCACAAAATGAAGTATTTTTGTTATGCATTTTCTTTAAAGACATAATTTTACCTTACCTAAAATTTCATTAAATGCATTCATTTATATAATTAATTGCATTGAAATGTTTAATATTGGAAAGATAAGTGCAGTTTTTTGTAAACTTGATAGTTCAATTTTATTTATGAAAACTATTTAAATGTAAATTTATCTTTATAATGTAACAGTCTGACAGCATTCTAAAGTCTTTGATAGAAATAAGATTTTTGATGCAGTGTTATGTAAAGGTGGGTTAGAAAAATAGAAATTCCTTATAAGTATCATCAAATTATTTAAAACCAATAGGGTACCACAATAATTAAGCAAAATCAGTTATTACTTTTCATTAATTTTTTGCAATAAACTCTGACTTTTTTGTCTTTGAAAAAATATTATATGACTATGATGTTTGAATTTTCTTTGAAAAGCCTGTGAGTTGGGTGTTAGTTATGGAGTGCATACATATAATCTATTTTAGAAAATTTTTGAAATTAGCAGTTGAGGCATGAGGATTAATCTGGTCTGAGATTTAGAAAATGGCTAGTTTAGATGGTCATTAAAATGTGGTTATTCATATAAGTTTTGAATTCAATTAAAATTGGTGAATGTCTTACATTTATTTCTCATATGCTGAAAAATGATTTCTGCAGAAAAACTGCTAATAGGTGTGACATCTTGTGTATGAAGTATCCAAATATATCCACATACTTTTCCTTTTTAAAACATATCTTCTTAAAAACATATCAGATTCCACTTAGTAAAAATATATCTACTTTAAAAAAATGGGAAAAAATTAAGATTAAATTACTTTTTACTAATTATGTGTTTCCTTTTAATCAGGAACAATGTGAAAATTTATGCTTTTGAATTAAAATATGCCTTAATTTTAATGTACAGTTTGATTTTAATTTTCTTAGTTTAGGTTCATAATTACATTTCATATATTCAAATAATTTGAAACTAATTCCTATACATTTAACTTCATTAGAATAAATTAATTATGTAAACAAATGGAATAAATATGAAAATATACTTAATTTGTAGTGTCATTAGGTTATTTTGAAGTAGCAGATGTGGAAAATATGCAGTGCCCTCCCTGGGTGATGAATTATAATGCACAGCTTTTTTTAGTTTGGTCACCATTTGTAATGTCATTAGATTATTTTGAAACAGGAGACGTGAAAAATTTGCAGTGCCCTCGCTGGAATTCAACCCCTGGACCTCTCAAATATGTGTTGAGTATGCTTCCAATTACACCATGGAAGGTATGTGGAAAGGAGGGAGAAAATACCATATCACATTCTTGAATGCATTACAGTAAACATACCGATTACCATTCAGTGATATTCATTAATCCCTCAATGAAAGGATTTTTCCCAAGCAGATAGCCAGGGGCGTGCTAGGGTGGGGCAAGGGGGACATCTGTCTCCAGGCACAGCATCCATGGGGTACAAAACTGATATTACAATATTTTAAAATGAAATGTTTTTGGCATACAGAAGGGAATGCAAAATCTTCAGTTGTCCCCGGGTGCTGAAAACCCTAGCTATGGCTTTGCAGATAGCTCTGATGTGTTGAAAAGGAGTTTTTGTCTATCATTATGGTGGGAAAATGTATTCTTTAGCAGCACACTCCAAATCACTGTTGTTGTAATTCCCATCTTGGGCTTTAAAAACATTGGTCTTATTGTAGAAAAGGGTGTCTCTTGGATTGGTGCCAAATAGCAGCGCTAGTACCGCTTTTCTGGTAATCCAAAGTCGACTTTGGAAACATATTCGATACATTATCTATTGTACACTATAATCACTTGTTCTTATCAGAAAAATGTGAAAATGCCTTATATACTCCACCTTTTAAAGGGAGACTGAGGGTTAGGGGATCCACTCACCAAATTCTGGTGGTGCTGAATTATGATCCACAGCCTTTTTTAGTTTGGTCACCATTTGTAATGTCATTAGGTTATTTTGAAGCAGGATACAGGAAAAATGTGCAGTGTCTTTGCCAGGACTCTAACCCTGGACCTCTCAAATATGTGTTGAGTATGCTCGCAATTACACCATGGAAGGCATGTGGAAAAGAGGGAGAAAATACCATATTAACAGGGTTATCCAAAGTTCATGTCAGTACGAGCCGCACATTTGAATTCAGGAATGTTCGAGAGCCGCATCTAGATTTTCTAAAAGCCACAAGTTCATATTTACATCATTATAGAAGTAGTGGAAGAGGTTTTAAATAGAAAGAAATCCCTGATAACTTTGTAAAAAAGAGTCTAAACTAATTAATTACTTCCTTTTGGACACTGAATAGTTTTAGTTTGCCATATTTCATACATATATTTTATACGCACGAGCCGCACAAATTGCCTGCGAGAGTCGTATTAGGCTCGCGAGCAGCAGTTTTGCCACCCCTGCCATATAACATTCTTGAATACATTACAGTAAACATGCTGATTACAATTCAGTGATATTCATTAATCTCTCAATGAAAGAATTTTACCCAAGCAGATAGCTGTCATTCTAGCTTTACTATAATCAAATGGCCAATTATAATTTCATCATTGAAATAAGTTTTATCAAAATAATCATTTGCCAAATCTTTAGCTAGGCTTTTTATTCTTGTTTTAAAATACATGAACTTTATATCAATTTGTAAAATTGTTAATACAGTTAAAAATGTCTTGTTATTTCAAAAACAATTTTCGTTTATAATATGCTGTTGGCTAGCATTTTCAGAAATGTGTATAATTCATTGCTTCTGATTGTCTTATATAAGCACTGCATGTTTCGTTTTTGCTAAAATGTTACTACTTTTATTAATTTTATTTTTTTTTTTTTTATTTTATTTTATTTTTTAAAACTAGGAAATGCATTTTCACTGAATATGTGATAATTTTTTTAATCTATTCTTATATTTTTCGTAATAATATATTATGAATTATATTTATTTATAGAATCTGTTGAAGTAAAATTTGCTGACCATGATTATGAAAATATATCGAAGTTCAGCTCAGAAAGTGGCGGAGTGGTTCGTTTTCAAGAGAAAGCAGAACCTGAGGTATTTTTTTTTCATTTTTAAATTACATTAATAAAAAAAGCTTCATATATTTGTAAACAGGGGCATAGCTAGAGGGGGGCAAGGGGGGACATCTGTCCCTGGGTGCAGAATCCAAGGGGCGCCAAATTGATGTTACGACATTTTAGAATTAAATGTTTTCCATCCTTGGTTTTCCATCCTTGGCAAGCAGTGGGGGCGCGAAGTCTTCAGTTGCCCCTGGGCGCTGAAAACCCAAGCTACGACTCTGTTTGTAAAATTAGAAATCAGTTTATTGGAGGGAGTTTATTAGCATAGCTAGGAGGGAGCAAGATCAGACACATGTTCCTGAGTGCAGCATCTAGGCAGTGCCATACTCATGTTATGAATTTTTAGAATAAAATATTGTCCATTCATGGCAAACAGTATGGGATGCAAAATCTTCAACTATTCAAAACCCTAGCTACGGCTCTTTGTGAATTTATTTCACAAAAAAATTTGTTTCTATATCTTTACAGCTTACAGGTACTATTGTTTTCATAAATAATTACAAAAGAAGCATATTCTAGGAAACAAGAAATCTTATAAGAAAAATAAAAAACCTGTATTGTTGATATTTACCTTTTTGAAGCCAGCGTGTACTGTTCAGCAAAATGGTGGTTAAATACAAAGATAACACATCTATATGCATTAAAACATATGTAATGGTATGTACATGTGGGAGGAGGCTATTGTCTCATGTGTATTTAAAAATACATAAAAAAAATGCAGTTTTTTCCTCGTACTGAAATTGAGGATGTCAATAATTTAAATACCAGCGAAAGTTAAACAGTCCACTAGTTATCTGCATGCTATAAATCTGTTTCTTGTACATTTTACAAATCAGATTTGCATTCTAAGTAATATCAGATTTAAAACCACCATGCTTAATATTCCTTGCTTAAGTCCATGCTTAAGATTTTTGATTTCTTTAAACTTATGATAATACTGTAAGCAGCAAGCAGCCTTGCCACTTAGAGGCTGCTTGCCATAGTAGTTTTGGGAAATTTGTGCTTTCCTAGCAAAACCCCTGCCTGCTCAGAGGGATAAAAAGCAACTTTTTTTTAATAGTTTTATTTAAAACATAAAGCATTACTAGTTTTGAAGTATTGTTATTGATTATGAATTGCTTAAGGCTGATTATAATGACTATTTGAAGACCAACAACAGGCACTCATTATTACCTAGAGCAGAAAAGCCAATTCTGATTTTAAAGATCACATATAACTGCAAAACATAATGCCATATAATCATGTAACTTCAAGAAAAATGCAATACTAAGTACTCTTAAATTTTTAAAGCTGTGGTGGGCCACAAAAATTTTCATAAACTGAAAAGATCAAAAAAGGAATGCCATTTAGAAGATTGTAGCAGTTTTATCGCTAAAATTATTGTTTGTAAAAACATGTACAGTCAAAAGTCGTTAATCCGGACTCGTAGGGACTTCGGCGATTCCGGATTATAGATCATCAGTTTAAATCTCGTAAGATGGCATGCAGAAATTCTAAAATTAAAAATATGAAACCGTAATTTATGAAATAAAGAACAATTATGATCTAAAGGGTATCAAAATTTACAAAAAAAGAAGCTTAATATTTATTTGTTTACTTTATTAAATATTTCTTTCAAAGTAAGTTGTTTCGTTTTATGTGATAATACTTTCTCTTTAATTCTATAAACAGACATAATTTCTTGTACAGTTACAAAGTTCCACTGTTCAAGTCCCGTTAATTGCTGTGCCAAGAATACCGACTAACTTGTCAATCGAAATTTTTTCGTTTTCACTAACCTCTCTGTCACCTTCTTCATGTCTTTATCCATTTTTTGCAGCAATTCCACTTTTTGTTTGATGGACATTGAAACATACTTTCATTTTGTAGATCCTTTGGGAGCTCCAGCATCGGAAATTCTATTTGACATAATCGAAAGTTCAAGTTTACTTTTATAAAATTACTCTTACAATCTGCAAAAAATAATAAGACGGATCCACTTCAAAGATTAAGGAACAACGCAATCATCAACATTAACTGAAATAGATAATTTTAGCTTATACCGTCTGTTATACATTAAACGCGCACGCAAAAACGTATTCTGCGTTTGCGCACATGCATATGCGCAGTCATAAAGGTCGCACGCGTAAACGCCTATGTGCATGTGTCAACGCGGTGTGTGCACAGAAAGTTTTTAGCTTTGAGGTCTGGATTATAGATCATTCCGGATTATGGGTGTCCGAATTAACGACTTTTGACTGTAATTCATAAAAACACGAGTCTGAAACTTTTTTTTTTGTTACAAAATCTGAAAAGTGAACATCAGGAGGTCTGAAAAAATGCCTAGGCTATCTTAATTGGGCCATACACACAAAATTTACTTTTTATTACACCTTTTCATTGTAGCTGCAGTGAGTTAAATCTGTTAAAATTTTCAAATTTGATAATATATATAGAAGTTGGACATTTGTGATTTTGATTTAGGATATAGTATCAGTTTGATTTATGCATCCACTGATATAATTTATTATGTTATTACATCAGTATAGTTTATTCATATTTAAATTTGCTTTGTAAGATTTCTTGTAAATGATCAATATTGTTGAAATAGTCATTTTATTTATCACTGTTATAAGTGAGGAAAACTCAACTACATCAAATATTAGGTCTTTCTTTATTGTATTTCAGAATTTAATTATTATTGTATTTCAGAATTTAATTATTAACAGTACACATACTGAATTGGTAGAGAATAGTTTAAAACTATTTATTTTGAGCTATTGTACTATTTTGTAAGAAGAGAACAATTTTGCACTTGAGAGTATATTTCTGGCTGAAAATATTTGAATAATTTACATATTATTAATGTGAATATGCGTATATCTTTTAAGATATGAGAACTTTATTTTTAAGGCACACATTTTTTAATTTGACTTTTTAAAATAATGAATTTATAGAAATTTTTTGATGTGTGTGGTGCTAACAAAGGAAAACAGAAAATTCATACTATCCAAAAATTAAAATTTTGAATGTAGATTATTCTAAAACATAACATAAATATTTAATTAGTATGTAACATGACAGAAGCAATAAATGCATTATGCTTTTATGTATGTATTTTAAGTTATAAAAAAAAATAAAATTTATTTAATGGTAATTCATATCTGAAATTATACCTGTATAAGTGAAACAACTGGCTAATTTTGAATTTATGGTGATTCTTTCTTTTTTTGATTATGAAATTTTAATTATATGGTCAAATATATCAAAGTTCAGTAAGTGGAAAGCAAAATTTGAGATCTGTGCAAAGAATATTGCATAATTCATTATTATAGTGGCCCCTGCCCCTATTTTGTGACCTTAGGATTACGCCAAGATCACAGCTGATTTTGTCAAGCACATAAAGCACGAATGTAAAATAAAGGATACAGCATTTAATAATAATACTGACATGTTGTTTCCTAAGAATATTTTTAATAATAGTTGTGACAAGGCTATATTTCCAAAACTGCTTTTATCAATTCATCAAAAACATTATTTTTTCCCATGTACTTTCTCTTCATAAATACCAAAAGATATGATCTGAGGTGATGCCAAGCCTGTTGTCCCATTGCTTTTTATTATGTCACTTGGCTAAACACTACTTTCTTTCCATATTTTGAGTGTGAACAGCCACTGTTAGATCTTAAAATTGTACTTATGGTTCACAGCAAAGTGAATGTACCTGTTTCTTCAAGTTTTTGTGTTATATCTGTTGCATAACAAGCTGTTTGTGACACCATTTGATGGATATTAGCTCCTCTAGGCAAGAATACATAAATCTAATAGCAGTGATGAATAATATTCTGGAGCCACTGAACACATTTCCAACATGGAGGCTTTCGTCTTTTTAATTTTTAACATTGCACCTCCAAGTAGCTTCATTGCTAGCATATAATTTCATGTTGTGGCAATTTTCATATACTCATTTGCCAAGTAAAAGATCTCATTCTTGACTTTAAAACATCTACCTCTTTATTTGGTAAATTAAAGGTTGTTAACTGCATATTCACAAAAATGCAATAAATATTTAAAAAGAAAAAAAATGCAAATTACAAAACCTTAGCAAAAATGAAAATAATACTAATACAAGAATGTAATATAAGAACATGTTTTAATTTGTCAATCGAAATTCAATTTCAGGGGCAGCTATGATAAGGAAGTACTGAATATTGTTATTTGTCTAAAAGGGAGAATTTAAGTGTAACTTTATATGCCAAATTAATTAATAAGAAGTGCTTTTTTTTTCGGGGGGGGGAGGAGACTATAATTTTATATCACAAACACTGAACATATATGCTGTGCATTGTTAGATTCTCAATTACCCCATAGATAAATGTAAAATACTATTTAAAATTTGTCATTGTTATATTTAGTAGTGGTAGTCAACTTTTTGTGTAGCCTATTAGCAGCTAGCCCCTTTATGCTCTAGATGCTATAATTAATTGCCTTACCTAACTGTCAAGAGATAAATATTTGGGGACCAAAAATAATTACAAACTAATGATCCTCTTAAAAGTAGTCATATAAGTAAGACAAATATGTATTAGGTATATTATTAAAGTTATTATTAGGTATAAATTTTCCAATGGAATAAATTTGGCATTCTTATTGAAAATTTCATGTTTTTATGTTAAACATTTTGGTTATCTACTTCTAGAGAAAACAGACAAAGGAATTTTATAAACAGTATTCTCTTTTTGAAAAGGTTCATGGGACAAATTGGGTTCATAAATAAATAAATATGAACAAAATCAAAATAAATAAAGAGAATTAAAGGGAATATATATTCAAAAGATTTATTTATTTGTGGTTTGTTTATATTAATCACTGATTACTTAATTTTCATGAAAAGTATCGAGCAAATGGACAGAAAATAGATGACTATTGTTAATCAGTTCATTACCTGAATTACCAAAAGTTCATTTATTGCTGAATCACTGCAGGATGATATAA